CACCCACCCCCCTCCCCTCCCCTCCCCTCCGAGAAACTGAATCCTTTGAATGTATTTAGGAATTTCAGGGTTGTGAGTCTATGAGATAACAAGACGGAGATAATAACTGAGAGGGTTTGCGCTAAGGGTTATATTGTTACACGTGTAAATAATGAAAATATTGTTATATATCTCCAGATCTCTTAACGAATTAAGTAATTGTATTCATTTATAATATCAGTGTTCTGTGCTTTGTAACGGAGTCGGCATAATTTTCCTCACTCTTTTTTTAACTATTATTTTATTTTTATGTTTCATTTTCCTGCCTAGAGGAAAGCCTAATGTTTTACAAAGTTGTGTTTGATCAGTCTGGGTAATCCCGAGATGTGATTATTTAGAGTTTACATTTTCTTATCCTGCGGTCCTTTCCTACACCCCAGTCGTCTCACTCCCATTCCATCCTTCCCCCGTCGAGTCTGTACACAATAAATCATTTTCAGGTGTATTTAAAATAGTCATCTCACTTCTGTTGATCCGCATATTTTCCGGAATTTAGCAGAGAGCTCCACCTTGTTTTTAAAAACGCAGCGGTTCCTATCGGATCTTTACAGAATCCTTATGCTTTAATGTAGTGACTCATGTTTGCACATTACAATGCTCATAACTTGTTTTGTATGAATGGTTTTAAATGGAACGTTTAGAGAGCAATTGGTTCTGATATGAAATGCAATCTATACTATTGATAATTTTATCAATAAGTGTAATATTTTAAATAATTTTAACAATTAAATTTGTTTTAAAATTATATATTTGTAAAATATTAACCCTGTTGAAAGCAACAATATATTGTTGTATTTATTCGTTTATTTTTGTAATAAATTATCAACGTCTTCAAGCGGCAGCGAAAGCGATACTTCTATATATTTATATAGGGACACCTTTTTGAGGAACAGAGATACTTGTTCCTATTTGCACAAGTCTGTAAAGATTGCCCCTGTAACTGGCAGGCTGCAGGACCAAAATGTATGCGTGAGCTTCTTCGCCACATGAACTTTAGTTTGCTTAAGTTCCAGGGTAATTAATCAAACGACAAGGGATGCAACAAGTCCCGACCTCGCAGGCAGGCGTGGAGGGAGCGCTTTAGGACAGGGACAGATTTTGCTAAGACCAGGAATGGCGAGAAACTTGGTCGCCTGTAGCGAGCTGGATGGATGGAGCGAGCGGAGGAGCTGCAGGGAGGTGGTTTTCCCACCGGTATTTCCAGTCGCAGTTTGGCATAATGGAGTGGGCTCGAGCTTCACCGGGCGGCGGGGCAAGGAGCGGGGACGGCAGCGAGCGGCCCCGCGGTATCAATGACCCCGCAGCGGGGAGCTTTTTTTTGGCTGTGAGACTTT